CGTCTACGGCCAACTCGTCGACGTATTCGTTTTCCACTCTGGCCAGGAAGAAGATCCGGAGGATCGCCGACTTCAGTCTGAGTACCTTGCGAAGCTTATGGGCTCAACGGATCGGCCGGCATTCTTACTCAGCTACTTGGTGACAGAGCCGCTTGAGGGCAACTACAACACCTATGTAAGCGACACATCTGGCATGCATGACGTTGACCCAACCGACTGGGATCGATGGTGCGAATACATCTTGTTCAAGAACATCAAGCGTGTTGGTTATGCTCGCGTTAGCCGTAGCACAATTACCGACACAGAGCTTCAGACTGCGAAGTTTGTGATCCCACGCTCAGATGCCGAGATCCAGGAGCTAGCAGCCCAGTCGGCCGAAGAGCGGGATCATCGCGTGGAGGAAGAGGATGTGCCGGAAGGATGGCGCTATCCTGCCATGTTTAGGGGAGAGGGCGTGAGAGATCATCGATACCACGTCTTTGACGAACCACGTTACTACAACTAATTCGGTACCGGCGGGATTGTAAGCTTGTCTGGACGGAGTTACTTGGCGGTGATGGGGCGGTTGATTTTGGCTTTTTTTTTCTTCTCGCTTTTGATGGAGCGGGGGAAAAGGGAAAAATGGACTTTGCTACGGAAACGGCTGTTATTGATTAATGAATGATTGGAGAGGAAATACTTGTGTGATATAACTTGTGTAGTTGTAAAAATAATTGCAAATTCTTTCTTGATTTCAAACCAGTACTATTTTCTCATTCGGGCAAGTACTCGTAGGTGTGCCTCGACACGCAATTTGACGTTATCAACCGATTCGATCCGTGGAACAGACTCTGATTTCCCGCGGGGTGTCTCCGACATCTCCCTTCGGGCTCTCAAATACTAATCTCTCCATGCAGGTAGCCTATCACTACCCCTCACAGGCGAAGCACGGAGTAATCATGCCATATCTCACTCCCTTGAGACCTTGATGCGGATCCTGGAATATGTGGACACAAACCGCAAAAGCTCCACTCCTCTCCGGTCCGAGAAAGTGGGGAGCGAGGAGCAGTTCGCATCTTGGGTGCCGGCGGCATCCGTTTTTTGCCCTGGAAACACGCTTCTGTGCTTGATTCAGGGAGCGCGGAACGGGGCGGAATTGATTCCAAGGCGCGGCTTCAATCGCCTCTGGCCCTCGTTTCGCTTTAGCTGTTTTTTATTTTTAACTTTTTTTTCTCTTTGGTGTGTTTTTTTTTTTTTACTGTTCCGGAGCCAATTGTGACGAGTATGATTATGCACGGATGGATGGATGGAAGGGGGAAAGGCTTATCGCTTTTTTTTTTTCCTCCGCATCGTTGGAGAGGATGACGTTTGTTCTTTTTCGTGGGTGGTTGGCTATTGCCCGGAGACTTAATTTGAATTTGGATATTCGCGGCTTGGGCAGCCACGTGTCGCGGTGAAGCTGAAGGTTAAGATACGGGTAGGTAAGCTTGGTGATGCTGTACAGAACCAATGAGGGAGAGCTGCGTAACTCTGTTTGTCTGCGTGCTCCCGCCCTCTCATCTCACCGATTCATGTACAGTACTCGAACTCCGTTACTCTCCATGAAACCCCGTCCCCGTGACCACGACGCGACCCAGCTTGGGCCAGCCAATAAAGCCGGAAGCAGTGATGCCAAGGGGAATCTAGATCTCCCTGCGCTCCTCCACAGCTGCCCCCAATTACACACGGAGCAATTCAAAGCGAATGGGAAGTAATGCTGGGCTCCCCCCCGCACAGGCCCCAGAGACTCGGGCGTCAGACCTTAAACGTCCCCGCCGAACCTAAGCGCCAGTAGGGCTGATTGGGCCACCGATGTCATCAGCCTTTGCCTGCAAAACCAGCATCGACAGCATCCATGGCTGTGTAATCGATAAGCTTGAGCTTGCTGTGTGCCGTGGAAAGCCGATGATGTAGTGTCGACGAGTTGATGCGCTGTTGGACGGGGGGTCTTGCGGGTAGGAAGGGGCGGAAGTAGAGGGTCGAAATGGATTGGTCTTTTTTTTTTATTTGTAGCTATTCTTCGCTCTGTTTTTTGGTCTTGCTTCTTCTCCTTCTGTCATTCTTTCTTTCTGGGCAGAGTTCTGTACGCGACTTTGGCTGGTTTGAACTTTTGCAGAAATGCTGTCGCTCAGCAATCAACACCCAGTCGCATGGCTGGGGCTCCTGCTCGGCGCAGGAGTCTTTTATGTAAGTTGTTCACCGGGGAGAGGAAATGAGATGAGTTGGGATGAGACGAGATGAGATGAAAATACAAGACGGAGGGTTTTGGAAGAGCCGAGCCGAGAAGATGAAGCTGGCAGTGCTAACGCGAAACCAAGCTCTTTTCCTTCGTCGTCTATCGCATCTTCTTCCACCCTCTGGCGAAATACCCCGGCCCCCTTATCGCCAAGCTCACGGACGGCTACCAGCTCTACCACGCCTGGAAGGGCGACCGCCACCTTCAATTCTGGCGCCTGCACCAAAAATACGGTAAGTCGCAAGACACAGCACTCGATAAGATCCATGGCGAAAATGCCAATATTCGTAGGTACATGTAGCTAACACGTTTGGCTCACAGGCAAGGTCGTTCGCTATGGCCCCAACTCCCTCTCATTTAGCACCACCCAGTCCCTGAAAGACATCTATGGCTTCAAGTCCAATGTCCGCAAGGCAGAATTCTACAACTCCTTTGCCCACCCCGTCGCCAACACTCACAACACTCGCGACAAGGATGTTCACGCCCGCAAGCGTCGTGTGCTCTCTCACGCCTTCTCCGAGAGTGCCATGAAGGAGATGCAGCGATACATCCTCAACAACGTGCGCATCTTCTGCGAGCAAATTGGCCTTCAGGATGGTACTACCGATTCCAAGGGCTGGACTCAGCCGCGAAACATGGCCCACTGGTGCAACTACCTTGCCATGGACATCCTTGGTGATTTGAGCTACGGCAAGGCGTTCCACATGCTGGAGAGCCCAGACAACCGCTTTGCTCTGGATCTGGTTGAGGCTGCCACTACTAGACATCTTCTTGTAAGTCATTCAAATTGCCAAAAGAGCGAACGCAGTATGCTGACTGTTGGAAAAAAGTGCGGCACCATGCCCATCGTTGATAAGCTCAAGTTGGACAAGATGATGTTCCCCAAGCTCGCCGCTGGACGTGCCCGCTACATGGCCTACAGCAAGGCCCAGCTGACCGAGAGAACCAAGCTTGGAGAGGAGACTGACCGCCGCGACTTCTTCTACTACCTCCTCAAGGCTCGTGATCCCGAGACTGGCCAGGGCTTCTCCACTCCCGAGCTGTGGGGAGAATCCAATTTGCTGTAAGTCGTCACCGGAGATGCTATTTATATATTATATATCATATGCGCGATAACGAACCGATGCTGATATGAAATAACCAGCATTATTGCCGGATCTGACACAACCTCGACTGCCATGGCCTCTACCCTGTTCTACCTTACCCGCAACCCCCATGCTATGCAGAAGGTTATTGAAGAAATCCGAGGCAAGTTCAACGACGTTGAGGAGATTGTCCAGGGAGCCACCCTTGCTTCTTGCACCTATCTCCGTGCCTGTATCGATGAGGCCATGCGCATGTCTCCCTCTGTTGGCGGTATCCTGCCTCGTGAGGTCTTGCCCGGCGGTATCACCATTGACGGCCAGTTCATCCCTGCCGGAACTGTTGTCGGAACCCCCCACTACAACATCCACCACAACGAGGCGTACTACCCCCAGCCATTCACTTATGCTCCTGAGCGATGGATCAACGGTGCTGTCAACCCCGTCACTAGGAGAAACACAACTGTCGAGGACGTTGCTGCGGCTCAGGGCGCTTTCTGCCCTTTTAGCATTGGACCTCGTGGATGCATCGGCAAGGGCTTGGCTTATGTTGAAATGACCCTGACTCTCGCCCGAGCCTTTTACCTCTACGACATGAGAAGAGCTGTTGGTGTTGCTGACCCCAGCGAGGGCCGCGCTGATCTGGAATGGGGCCGACACCGTCCTGAGGAGTTCCAGCTGGCGGACATTTTCACCAGTGCCAAGAAGGGACCTATTGTTGAGTTCAGGTTGGCCGAAAAGGCTTAGGCTGCTCTTCCGTCGTGTACGTTATGATGTTGGTGGAGAGATGGTGAGCGAGGCAGAATGCTCGCACCTACAAGACAAAACTGGAATTCCAAAGGTAAGAATGAGACCATGTACAAAGTATGAAGGAAGAGGCACTGGATATTCACGAGCAATCTTGATAAACTGCACAATGATTGAAAAATTAAATACGAAATAAAAAAGCAATAATTTTTTTTTATATTAAACCTGCCACATAATCGTGATTTGCGATATGCTGGATAGCCACTGAGTAGCTAACAGTGCCTACCTATTAATGCTGTCTGGTGACATTAGGCGATGTTGAGGGATGCCATAGAATCCAGTCTTTGGACCTGGGATGTGCATTCTTTAGTACGGAGTAGAAAGGAGTAGAAAAGCGCAAATAAAAATGAGATGGAGAAAGAATTGAATGAAGAAAGTCATGTTATTACCTGACGACAATTAAGAATAAGAGTATAATGCAGCAAGGATATTATTGATGTGATTATAAGCATGGAATTCATTTAAGCCGTGGGTAAACAAGGTATTTTCCTTATAAGCTACTAAGAGAGGTACTTCCAGTCTATAACATCTGCAAGTCCAAGATTATTACCTACAACTTTAACTGGAAATGAGACTTTAAGCTTTCCATCCCATTTGCAAGCCTGAGGTTCAATTCTGCTAACTCTGCCTGAGGCACCTCCTAGGTACCTATAAATGAGCTTGATGCCTGCTGTCTCAAAGAAAGAAGAGACAACCTACCTAGGTACCTATACATGGGACGGCGATGGCGGACGTGATTGGCCAGCGTCTGCCTGGAGGCGCTGGAGAGCCCACTAAATCGCCCAAGGCTGCACAAGGCTGGCCGGGCATTTGCTTTTATCTTTCCGGCCTATCTAATCGTCAACCTCCAATTGCCCAGACGCCTGTGTTTCTTCTTTCTTTCTCGCGACACCATCGTGAGACGACGTTGAAACGACGATATTTCGCGATGGCATAGCTGCTGAGACTATATTACAAACATCATCTTCCGCTGATTGCCTACTATGGCGGTGTGCAGATTCTACCAGCAGGGCTATTGCAAGTTCGGCAGTAGGTTCACCTTTCTCACTTCATCATTCTCTTGCAAGAGATGCTAACGCTTTGATAGACAGCTGTCGCTACGAGCACCCTAATGCCGGTGGCAATCGCAACCAGCCCGCGAACCGCTTCGGAACTTTGGGAGGAGCCAACACGGGTGGGAGTGACGGCGCGTTATGTAAGATGCACGCAGCCGAGTGTTCTTGATGGAGCTGACCTCGAGAAAAAGCAAAATACAGCATAACCCCCGAAGTTATTGAGAAGGACTTGACGACCGAGGCGCCTCAATGGATTCTTTCTGCGTATGCCCCGGGGCGAGACGCTCCAGATCAGCTCTTTGGAGGGTATCCTCGCGAACAGAGCTTCGAAGAGCTCAGACTTCATTATCTCATGGGCAAAGCCTCAGGGAATGAGCAACAGGCTGTAAGGGTTATTATTCCTATATATACTTCTATGGTTATTCTAATAAAAGTGTGCTCAGCTTAATGAAGCACAACAACTGTACCAAAATGCAAAGCAGCAGATGGAAGCCGCGGCGCGAAATCCGACGGAGGCGGCACGATTCGTCGTGGAAGCAGAGAACAGGCATCCGAACAGACTGGATATATGCAGAGAGGGAACCCAAGGCGCGCCGTTTGGGGAGTTTCAAGTCGGAAAAAGGTCTAATACTGCGAACCCATTCGGCGGCGGCACTGCTGCGATGGCGCCCACGATAAGTGGCTTTGGCCAACCCTCTGCTTTAGGACAGAAGCCCAACCCTTTTGGACAACCATCACAACCTGTATTCGGCCAACCATCTCAACCTTCATCAACATTTGGACAGCCGACGCAGGCGGCTTCTCCCTTCTCTCAACCATCACAACCGGCCTCGGCCTTTGGTCAACCGTCCGCGCTAGGAGCCAAGCCTAGTCCATTCGGTGCTCCGGCTTTTGGTCAGACGCCCCAGCCAAACACACAACCTAGTCCATTTGGACAACCGCAGACTCAAGGAAGTACATTTGGCCAGGCATCCCAGCTTGGACAGAAGCCGAGCCCATTCGGCGCTGCGGCAGGCGCTAGCCCTAGTCCTTTTGGACAACCATCAGCCCCTGCTGCCAATCCATTCGCATCTCCAGCCCAAAATGCTGGCAATCCGTTTGCTCAACAACCTGCTCAGCAACCTGCTCAACAACCTGTTCAGTCTCAGTCACCATTTGGAGCGCCGACTAACCAAACCTTTGGGCAAAACAATGCGAGCCCATTTGGACAGCCACAGCCACAGCAACAACAGCAACAGCCGACTGCTAACCCCTTTGCTCAAAATCAGACAAACGGCACATCTTCCCAGGCCAATCCTTTTGCAGCAGCCCAGCAACCTCCCCTGGCCGGCGCTGGTGCTGCCAGCAATAATCCCTACCCTCCAGGCAGCTCAAAACAACACCCAGATATCGCAAGCTATAGCTCAAAAACCATGGATGGGCGACTTGCCATGTTCAAGGGGAAACCTGTAACTTACCAGGGTCAGTTACCCGGGATCCGGGCATTCGACGGCACATGGACGCGGATTTGGTTCCCCAACGGGCCTCCAGGTTACAACAAGGATACGGAACTACCCATTGAACAATACAGCGACCAATTGAAGAACCAGTGGGCTGCCTTTGCTCAGACGGGAGAGTTTGCTGATGGGCTAATGCCAGAGTTGCCACCGCCACGAGAATGTACGCGGTGGGATTTCTAACTAGAATAGAAGGATGTCCAACATGGTCGGAAATCGAATGGATATGAGGTGGAGTCAAGTAATGGATCAATATGGCGTTTTTCGATACGGTTCTATGTTCTATATATAAGGCAGACAGTCTACGGCGTTAACAGGCTGCTTGGGAGAAGGAGAAAAACACAGTCACAATGATAATATAAGGAGACCAAATGGGTATATGTCTTGAACCAGTTTATTTTGTGCCTATCTGCCTCGAGGGCTGTTTCAATTTCCCTCGACGTCAGGGTATCGGTCACTCCAACATCTTTACGAGATTGGAGATTCGCTTAAGCAGCGATGGTGACCTCAACCTCGACACCAGCGTCGATGTTGACAATGATCTGCTTGACGACCTCGGTGGGGGCGTGGAGGCTACAGACGAGACACGGTTAGCAAATTGCGTACAGAGCACAAGACTCAGCAAAGGGTAGTTGACGCACTCAATGAGACGCTTGTGGATGCGCATCTCGAAGCGGTCCCAGGTCTTGGAACCCTCACCGCAAGGGGTCTTGCGGGGAGTGACGGTCAGGCACTTGGTAGGCAGGCGGACAGGGCCCTTGGCGCGAAGGTCCTTGTTCTTAGCACGGTCGATGATCTCGGAGCAGACCTTCTCGAGGACCTGGACCTTGCGAGAGGAGAGGGTGATGCGGATCTTGTGGCTCTTCTGTAATCATTGGGGAAAAAAAGACGGCACGTTAGCGGGCTGCAGCTTCAGGGGAGCTATGCGATGCTATGCTGTCGACGCAAGTCGCAAAGGAGGAAAACTAACAGCCGGCTCCTGAACATCCTTCTCGTTCTTCTGGTAAGACATCTTGAACGGCTTCACGACTCGAACGGATCGTAATAAGTGGGTTGAAAGAGGACGATCTGCGTATCGGCAAAGTGATGAGGCCGGAAAAGTTTGGCGGTAATGCGAATGGTGATGTTTTTTGCAAGTTCGCAAGAATCGCGGAACTTTTTGGTGGGGTTGCAAATTGTCCAGCTAGGGCTTTCGCTGTGCGCTGCGCTAGTCCTGTTGCGGAGATAGCGTTCTGTTTAAATGAGGCGTCACGATTGGTGGATGCAGCTGGCTCGCCTGGGGGGTTTTGTGGGTCCGATTGTACTAACCGGAACGAGACCTCCAATGAATCATTCGGCGATGATGGGGGTCGATGCCTGTGAGAGGCTTCAGATGAGAGTGTTTATATTTAAAGCTGCTCCTGTCCCGGCCTTGGAACAGCTCATCATTCTGTTATATCCATCTCAGCAGCCATAATAGACCATCTTACTATTCAGCATCGAAAGACCAAGAAGAACGACGTCATGATTTCTCTACCGCCCTTTGCGCCGTTCCCAAAGGCTTCGTGGCGGCAGCGCATCTCACCCGAAGACTGGGATGCTCTATCGGAAGCGTGGATTGCGCTATCACAAGCTTATCTGGACCTGGACAATGCCGTGTTCAAACAGGCAGCTGCAGACAATGAGGCCCTGACGACATTTGTATCTACGTTTGTGGAGGAAACGGCTGTCGAGTCTGGCGCAAAGACAATATCACCGCGGCTGCTAAAGACGATCTTCCGCCTCATCTCACGGCTTTTCACAATATGTCCTCCGCCTCGGTTGCTGGACGTTCATTTCCTGGCCGGGTTTGCGAGGACGTTTCCGAAGAAGCACACCACACCGCTGCTTGCACAGCTATTCGCCAGTCACACTGCCCCCATCGAATCCTCATTACTTTCTCTTAAAAAGCTCCTTATCCCGCAACTCGACGCCGGAAGCAAGGGGGATCTCAAACTTGTTGAGCTGGAGCTCACACGCCTGAATCCCCTGCTACATGCGTCCCCCAATGCATGTATGCTTCTTCTCGCTGGATCCGACTTCTTCGACGGTCTGGTCACTTGCTTCCAGGTCATTAATCCTCCCCTGCGCAAGACCATCATTACTACAGTCTATCTATGCCTTATTGGGTTGATAGAAGTAGAGCCTCCTAAGTGGTCCATGGTTAGCGATCAATTATACGCTATTCAGGTCGCTGCGGAGGCACACAAGAAGGGGCCCCTGAATCCCAACGACTCTCTAGGGGCTGATCTCGTGACGAATACACCAATACTGAAGGCTTTGCTTCGGAAAATAGAGTCATCGACAGCAGCGCCATCTAACCTCAAGAATCGAATCACTACCCTGGAATCATTCAAAACGGGCATCATTGTCCGACCAAAGAAGTTGGTGAAGAGAAAGGTGGATAAAGGAAAGGGAGTAGAATCAGCCGAGGACGTGCATGCGGAGATTCATGTCCACCAGATGAGCCAAATCACCCATGTCCAGGACATATTCCCAGACATGGGAGCAGGGTTTATCGCAAAATGTTTGGATGAGTATAATGGCGACGTGGAGCAAGTGATTGCGAATCTGTTTGATGAAACATTGCCGCCCCATCTTGCCACTGCGGACAGGACAGAGCCATTGTGAGTTCTTACCTATTCTCTTTTAGTGAGATGAATTTTGTGTGATTCAGCTAACAATTTCCTTCTTACGAGAAGATCACATACGCAACCCGATACTAAAGCACATAGAGACCTGGCGCCACGCTTAACACCGACACAGTTACCCATTAGACGGAATGTTTTCGACGACGATGAGTTTGATCGGCTGGCAGTCGATTCTTCCAAAATATCATTTGGAAAGAACCCCGAGAAGACGGCTGATGACGTCCTCAAAGACAAATCTACAGCTCCAAACAAGGCCGCTATCTTATCTGCTCTCGCATCGCTCGACCCAGATGACGACGAGCGGGACGACACTTATGATGCCGCAGATGTGGGAGGCACCGTGGATACAGGCAACCAGGAAGCCGATGGCGTCAACGACAGCAACGAAGAACTTCTTTTCCGTGCCTTCCAGGCGGATCTCAGGATCTTTGCAAGAGACGCGGAGACGAGGAGGAGCGCTACTCGTGTGAAGCTGCGGGATGAAACGGGCATGGCTGACGAGGCCATCGAAGGATGGGCAGTAATGCTGCAGAGGAACCCTACCCAGATGAAGCGTCTGGAGGCTAAATATGCATGGAGCGGCCAGCAATCACAGCTCGAGCGCACTTCATGGAGAGCCAGTCCTGCTGGTTCAGGCGCAGAGGAGAGTGATCCGGACGGAGGCTCTAATAGAGGCGGCAGAGGCGGGCGGGCGAGAGGCGGACGCGGGCGAGGAGGTCGCGGCAGGGGAGGGAATGTTGCTGGACCGACGGGGGAGAAGGACACGGAAATGGCTAGGAAGAATAAGGAGGCGCATAAAGGAGCGAGGGCGAACCACCATAGACGGGATGCAAGGGCGAGGAAGATGGCTCGCGGAGGGTTTGCCGGGTGAAAGGATTATAGCAAAAGGATTACTCTGGTAGAAGGAGAGTGGCTGCTTATAAGAAAGGGACATGAAATATGAATAATGAGAAACAAAGGTCAGGGGTATATGTAATACAAACTTGGCTAATAGTTTCATATTTGGGTGATAAACTTGTTTGGCAACCTTCTATAGAGAGCAATTACAGTGCGTAAAAATATCAAATGCCTGGAGATTTTTGCACTCATGAAATATATCGACATATAACTGCAACAAACCCAAGCGCCCTCCACAAAAAAGACAACGCCAGGCCAATGCCCCTTGAATGCCAACCCCCTTCCCAACTATTCATATTTCAAGCTTTTTACAATCCCTCATACAGTCCATCGACTACATTTCCAAGCATCTTCAAGCCATAATATTGAGCCACTCGCTTCATAACAGCCAACTTGCGTACAACCTCATCCCGCGACAGCACCTCTTTCCACTCACCGCTGCAAGTGCAATGCTCCATAAAGTCATTCACCCTCAGAGCACCGCACCGCTCACACTTGAGATCCTGACTAGCCCACTCCGTTGTCCAGCCCTCCACCATGGCGAGCAGCCGCTCCTCAATGCCCACCCGGTCAAACTCGCTGTTGCAAAAGCCGCACTGCCAGCTCTGTCCGCCGTTCTCTCCAGAAGAGCCAAACAGATCCTCATCGCGGCAGAGATCCAAATCCCGCGCCATCGTACAGCTGTCACACGACACTTGCAGTAGTTTCAAGCTCTCTGAGGGGTTCGTGAATGCTCCCTCCTTGGAAAACTCACGAACTTCAAAGAGTGCAAGCAGTTCTTTACGTAACAGTCTTGCCTCAAGCGTGATGTTCTTATCCAGAGATAGCACCTGCATGATTGACTTGACGAGCTCGAGAATCGGATTGCGCAGCGAGAGGTGCGAGCCAGGCAACGAGGGGAAGCTGTAGTCCTCTGCCAGTTCTGGATGCATGAGCTCGCGCTTCTGCTGGTTGATGAGACCAACAATGACCTTTTTCATCGGCTTTTCGAAAGCTTTACCCAAGATGATTTGAGCGTCGTCTTTGGGTTCTTGGTTCCTGTTCGGTAGCTGAGTGAGTCGTGGAGTCGAATCAGGGTCGTTGTTTTCCGGTCGTTTTAGTTTATGCATCAGCTGAATAAACTCAATTACCCAATCCTGGAAAATAGGCTGTAGACGGACGGGAAGGAATGTGGCCATCTGCCAATGCATAATGGTCTCCAGGTTCTGTTCGTCAGTCTCGGCAACCTCCTGACAGGCTCGGCCACCATAGTTGAACTCGTCGTACCAAACCAAGTAGTCCCAGTATTCCTTGATCTCCAAGTCGATGAAATGGAATAAGGACTTGCTCTTGATTGACTTGATAATGTACTGGCTATAGGCAAACGCATTTCCAACTTCAGCCTTGGTTGTCTGCAGGATCAGTCGGTTTGCACTGGCAAAGATGACCTGTGAACCGACCCGCCTGAAATCCGCCATGAGCTGCTGGAATGCCTTTCGCGACATCATTTGCACATAGTAGTGCAGTGCTCGGTCATACATGAACGAATCTGGGTTCTCAACCCACCGGACGAGATGCTGAACGAGCACATCGGCCATCGTACTGCCCTTGCAAGCTTCTGCCCACCAGGCCTTGACCATCTCACGAAGAACCAGGACTCCAGCGTTGGCAAATCCATTCTCTGAAGCAAGAATCTCTGATCCGTCGGCTGTAGGATTGAATGAGATTGATTCGGCGCCTTCAAGCTCGTTGATCAAGGATGAAGTCAATATAGTGTTGATGGCGAGATTGCGGACATCTAGGTCAATGCAAACCGAAGAAAACGTTCCGGGGTTGTTGATGCTAGGCATCTTGACCGTGTCGAGCGATCCGATAATATCATCTTTCTCATAGCCAGCGTGGTCTGGCCGAGGATCGGGAGACCACCACAGCACTACCCCGTTTGCCTGTAGCCGCCGGGCGTAGGCAATGTCAATCAAGAAACGAGGATCATCACGTTCGAGGTTGCACAGAGGGACATCGCCATAGCGCGCCAGGGCTGTGAGGTGCAAGATCCATGATCCAAGTCCCAGGTAGTGCCCGACCAGACGTCGCGCAATAACTGCTTGCCAGCCCAAGGGTGGCAGTGAGCTGTCGGAAGCATCGTACTTGAGCGGCAACACGGGGAATTCGCCCAGAATAGGAATATCATGAACTAAAAGGTTTCTCTGAGATGACTGGATAACCATCATTTGTGGCCGCGATTCGTCCTTGCGAAGTTTTCGGACTACATCGGCGACCTCTAAATGGGCCTTGCGCCGTGTTGTCACTTGGGTGATTTTAAAAGTGATCTTCTCTTGATACTTGAAGCAGTCCTGCCAATTCGTGCCCGCAGCTTCCTCTGCTCTTTTTGCTAGCAGTTCCGAATACAACTTTGTAATATTTGGGAGGTCCGAGCCAGAATCCCTTCCTTTTTGCAGTATCACAACGTAAGCCTGGTCGCTTGTGGTTGAGAATAGACCAAAAATCTGGCGATCTCCCGCAGTGATGTGCGAGATGTATATATAGGCCAACGGAGACGACTCCAAATATGTTCTTGGCT